TCTCGTGTTATTTTAAAATAAATAATTATATATAATTACATAATATAATATTTTAAATTTTTTAATCAAGAAATGAAATCTCTGTCAATTAATAACCTGCATTACTCTGCTTCATTACTGGTGATTTTACTGGTGATTTTCCTCCCTGATAATGTAATTTATTGTGCATTTAAAACTTCGTGTGAAAGACAGGAAAAAGAAGGCGTAAGAAAGATTGAACACTCTTGAGTTTAGACGCCGCTGCTCGTCTGACAGCAGTCAGAAAAGGGAAGTGTCAATATCAATACATTTTTACCAGACAAATAATGTATGTATCTTATGTGGTATACCTCTTTTGCTCAATATATTTGTGTTTTTTTAAATGATATTATATTGTTGTATTATTGTATCATAAAATTATATTAATTATATTATTTTATTATAAAATGATATTAGTAAAAAATGGAAAGTGCATGGAGGATGCGGATATCTATGAAGCTTTCCCCCACAGCCCCACTGGCCTGAATAAATTGAGGCCTGTTGCAAACGCTGTACTTCTCATAGGTGCTAAGCGTATTAACGAGAATAGATAATGAGGCATCTCAATTGATTTTCTAGTGTTTTTAATGCGTTGAGCACATGAGAAGCGCGAGCTGCACCAAGTTTGAAACAGGCCTGAATAATTCATTGTCTGTGTGTGTTCAGGATTTCCCCCAAACCCCCAAGACTACAACTCAAGCACCATGAACTTCGACATGTTCCCTTCTCTAGCAGATTAATAACTTCTGTAGCTAAATCCCCACAGGTGAAAATTTGCAAACAGGTCATTCATGTTTTAAGAATAGGTGATTTCAAAGGTTTTGGGTTTTTTATCGACCCCGCGGTATAACAGGTGACCATATTGATAGTGCATGGAGGTTCGGGACACGATTTTTGGCTATATACATGGCTACAAAAAAGAAGAAAATTGCGAATAACACAACCGAATGAAATTAATGCATGGTATGAGAGAGATTTTTTTTAATGACTATCAGAGTTTACCTATATTTTACAATTCATATGTATAGTACAGATAAAATTTGATAGCTGCGATGTGTATTTTTGCATTTCTCATATCACGGTGATATCATTGGTCAGTCAATCACTGATGGCATATTTTTTAATGTAAGCATCTGTGTTAGCGGGGTAAACCGAGCATTGAGAAGACAGAAAAAACAGGCGTCAATACGAGTGGCTTAAGTTTGTAGACTCGCCATTCTTCCGACAGCAGTCAGAAAGTGCGTATATTGGTCTTCTTTATCTGAATTAACCGTCCCAATTGTCGAATACATTTGCACGACAGATAATCCATGTAACCCATGCATGATAAATTGTTATAACGACATCAGTAAACATTTTTTAAATTTACAATTAAGTCTTTCTAAGTTAGGCCGGCGAACTTTGTATTGCCTCTTTTTAGACTAAAAAAGATTGATTTCGTTGGGTCCATCCATGACTACAATTCAGAAAAATTGGGACTGTAGCGATTGATCGGGCAGATGATTTCGGTTAAGATCGAGGTTCGTGAATGTTGCATGAGACTTATGGGTTCGTCTTGCAAATGTGACAAGAGGAATTACAACACGAATACGTGGAGAGCTTAGTTAGTTTGAGTTTTTGTTTTTTCTTTTCTTTAGTATTCGTCGTCGCAAGTGTGTTTTGGCGCGAAATATACTAGTATTTGAAATGCGTGTGTGACCGTGTTTATCCACGTCACAGTCTTGTCTCCCAATGTTGTGGTGCACAGCTTAGCGGGCTAATTTTCCGATGCGCGATTCGATTTCTCTCGCATGATACGGCAATTCCTCCAAGAGGAACAAATAAACGGTTCTTTTGATGCTGTTCGATTAAGTTTAGATTTAATTGGGGTAAGAATACATTTAATACATGTAGATTTTTGTCCTATTTTAAAAATATAAGGCTGCTATTTCGCCGTTTAACAAGATGTGGTCGTGTATGGGCGCGTTGACACGTCGCAGTTTGATTTAATATAACTATATAATATAAGCGCGAATTCCAAAGGCAAAGTGAACTCCAAATTGAACTTCTATACTTTTTAAAATACTGTGTGCTTCTGAATTTCGCGATCGAATTACATTTAGCTGGGCAAGGCATCTAAATGAGTATGAACTGTATTGTTTATGTTCATAAGCTTTCTATTGAAGACTGGCACGTGCACGGCACGCCAGCTAGAGTACTAGTTAACGCCAGAACAGGCGTACGTCTTGTTTTTTATATAGTTTCGATGAAACTTTATATTATTATCCATAATATTATTATTAAACTCTAAATTGTTATATATCCATAATATTTATTATAAGGACAATGAGTCATTAAAAGCAAATCAGAAAGAGCGAAAATCCTTTCACGACTGCAACAAGAACAATTACAACACAAATATGCGTTTAAAGAGGTCAGTTTGTTTACTTACCTTTGTCCAAAAGATATTATTCATGCGCAAAGTTTCAATGAAATTCTATATTATTATCTAGTTGGTTCTCGCTCACAATTAAAGTAAAATTTTATCCATGCATGTCTACCCCATCGTTTTTCAAAGCGTGAATCCGCTGTCTCGTGAAAACACTTCCACATTCTTGAGCAGTCGGAAAATGCGCATTAACTTTTCGTATACTTTTGAAATTAATACATCAAAAATTTGTACCCGACTAACAATCCCTTTTCCAATTGATAACCTGTATATTTTACTCCACTACTTGTGATCTCTCTGATCTTATTTTCCTGTAGAATTAATAATTATATATACTATAGTGAACCAGATAAAACTATAGTAAACTGCACTGTTCATAGAAGTTGAGAGTTGGATTATAAAATACAAAATAAATAGTGATCATTCTTTATTCTAAAATGAAAAAAATATTTACATAAAATAAAAAACCTCCCGAAGCCAGTTTATGGATAAAACTTCATTCACAGCAGACTGAAAGATCGACAAAATTCTTTGCACTTGGCTAAGAAGTACCAGGTGGTATATTCGTTCATCAGAATATAGTTATACAGATATTGCATTTTATTTGTTCATCGATCCATTCATGTATACACTTGAACAATAGTAAATTTCGTGTTCGGTTTGTTGTAGAAGGATTTCAGGATAAAATTATTTTGTTGAACATTGATTTGTGGGTGGAGGTATATTGAGTGCAGAAAACACAGGAAAAAAGCAAGTGTCTGAACGAGTGAGCACTCTTGAGCTTCAATAGCGGCTTCCGACCGCAGTAACAAACTCGTATTTACAAAATTTTATTTACTGCAGCCATGCAGTTTCGATGAAAATCCATTCATTTAACAGCGGGTTGTCACCTGTTGTAAAGTAAGTTAGTATTATATTATTTTTAGGAACGTCAGGAAAAAAATGTGCATGCATGGACATTATTCAAAAGGTGAACATTAAGTAAACAATACGTTTTAATAAAATAATAAGTATAGAGATTGAGCAGTCGCAAAAATGTATTGACCTTTATCATTATAGTACGTCGGCATAATAATCTAATTTAACAAAATAATAATACTTTATATTTCACTTTATGTTGCTTTATTGGCGGGGAATTTAAAGTGTATATACTTCTCACCAAATATGACTTTCAAATAGATTGGAAAATATTTATAGAATCCGGAAAAATTCATCTTCTCGTGCAGTATACAATTATTCAACAGTTATATAGCTGTGCTACAATTGATGCGAACAACCTCCACTGCATAAGTGTATTTTTATTTTTGTCAGTGAGTATATATATATATATAATTATATATATATATATATATATATATATATATATATATATATATATATATATATGTACTCACTGACAAAAATAACGCGCCACGCGCTCTCTGACTGCAGTTGGAAAGGACGTATTGAACTTATTGAACGGTATGTAAGGTGACTGTAATGCACGGAGAGGCCAGGCGTTTGAAAGAGAATGAATACTTGAGACGTCGCCACTTGACCGACCACAGACGGGAAAATCATCTTGACTTTCGATATCGAGTATACCTAACATTTAAAACTCATCAACAACTTTTGCACGACACATATCTAACGAATGTATCTCATTTAATTGGATTTATAGTTAATTTTTATACTCTATTAATATTTATACTCTATTATAGTTCTTCTGTGTCTTCTGTACAGATCAAATGTGCATATATATGTGAAATCTGTAATACCTTGGCCACATGCAGGCTGCAGCTATAGTGAATGCGTAAATTTATATTTCCGTTGCCGTTGATCATGGTAACCTTCCTTGTCCGATTGCCTAATGATGCTCGAAAGCCCTGAGATATTAAATTTTAATGTAACATGCAATTTACGTTGCGTGTCAACAAACCAAAAGAAATATATCTGTCTATATAACGCGGGACTGTATAGTGTAGCGAAGCCTCGAAATTATTAGATTGTATTAATTTTGATGTTTGCTGACTGTAATAACAGTTAATTTAGTAAGAGATGAATAATTATAAGTGAATGAAATTTCAGGGTGGGATGGTATCGTTAATTCGAATTTTCCATACTAGCTATAATCATTTGGTAGGTAAGGCCTAGGTTATACGACGCATTTTCGTCGAATGCAATTCAAACAATAGATAATGAAATGAAAATGAAGCTTGATGAGGTTCATCATCTCATTATCTATTGTTTGAGTTGCATTCGACGCGATCAAAATGCGACGTACATAACCTTGACCTAATAGTAAAATTCCGTTCTGATTCGCCGTAGCAAAAGCTCTTAAAAGTATTTTAACAAACAATCAAGGTTGGAGAAGACTGGCAGGCCTACAAGAAAATTTCAACGCCAGACCCTCTAACCGCAGTCGGAAAAGACAAATGGACCACCAACATAGATTTGGTGACAGTTGCGGAGGCGACAGTTGTAATAGTATACATAATAAAGTCGCCGAGAAATGATTTCATCAGCAATATTTTTAATTTAGATCCTCCATGTATCCGACAAACAGACAGCCTCATTATAATATCCATTAACCCAATAATCAAGTGGTCGGACACATCGACTATATATATTTGGGTGAAAACAGTCTAAAATCATTCGCTTATTGAAGTTTCTCAGTGGAGTTTCAAATTCTTTACCGTAAAGAAATTACAAATTGAGGTAAGCTGTTTACTTCATTGAATGTATAAAATAAGAAAGAGCTAGTGCACGATTTTTAGCTCTTTAACCGCCTGCTTTCAAATCTTTTATAACTTGTTAACAGTAAACGTTGCTATGATGACATTCAATACTAAACTATATCAAAAATTGTGAAGACTGTATATTATATTTATATATTTATATTAATATTATATATAAACAACTTCGACTTTACCCTTTATTATATTTAGCAAAAATGAATTATCGTCTCGGATTTTGTCTGATGCTGGTTCTCTTTGTGACTGCTTTCAGTGTTGAGGGTAGAAAACAAGGTAACATCATTTATTTTTGTTTCAGCATGTAATAATTATTTATGTTTCTTTTTTTTCTTTCTTACTTCTTCATTCTTTTTTAATTCTACATAAAATTATTCTAGACTACAGTGATATAAGCATTGGCGAACCACACAGCTATACTGCATGTTCATTTATATTAATTACGTATTTCTTTCACGTTGGAAAAATACCACAAATCCATAGGTCGTGGAAAAGTGAGATCAGTAAATGATTATAAAACTGAGATCACTAAAGAGAGTGAAAGTTAACCATCATTAAATGCATTGCCTCATCAACTCTGCTGACGGACAAATGAAAATCTATCATTGTCTGCAACAATATACAACCATCGTAATTATTGCCACTCTGATTTTAATAAATGAAAGTAATCACCATACAAAGATTAACTTTCACAACCCAACGTTCGACACTCCGGTCTATAGTTTCTACATCTGCAGAGGTGATTTGATGTTGAAACTCAGTTCCTTCCATCATTAAATGCATTGTTTCATCAACTCTACTTACAGGCAAATGAAAATATATCATTGTCGGCAACAATATACAACCATCGTAAATATCGCTACTTTGGTTTTAATAAATAAAAGTAATCACCACATAAAGATTAACTTTCACAACCCAACGTTTCGACACTGCACTCTAGTGATAATTTAAAAGGTGAAAGAAAAAGTAGCTACACTATTTCTGTCGCCCTCCAGAACGCATTTAATTATTTCATTCCTACTTTTTAAGGGCTTTTTTTTCCGAATCGAGTGATTTTAATTTTGTTTAACGTGATATTACACCGTATAGGTGCCAACCGTATGTACCAAAAAGATTGTGCCTATCCCAACGGGTGTGTTCCTTATTCAACAGTATGTGAAGGACAAAATGAGAAATGTTCGCCAGGTTATAGGTGCTGCAGAGTGTAAGTATTCAAGTTTATTTAAAGAATCCAATAATAATAATGGCACGTTGCTGTACATTTTTAAAGTGGAAGTCGTGCATGTCAAGGTTTTGTTTTCTTTTTAAATGTTGGTATTAATTTTTTTGAAATACGATGTTCTGTCTGAATATGTAACATGCACTAATTAGGTCCGTTCGCTTTTTAATGAATACGAACTAGGTTTATGTTTTGAAAATTTCGCGACATGTAGAATTTGGACAATTCTTACATCAGAGGTCTCTCGCATTGTTAGCTAACTGAGAGTGTTTAACTGAAAGTGATTTGACGAAACCTTGGCAAATTAAAGTTATCAATACAATATGAAAATAGGGTATCAAAAAACAATTTGATCTTCAACAAAATCAAAATCATTCATGCTCCTATGGGATTGCAATGATGTGTAAGAAAATTAAGTCGGTACTAAATTTTAGGGAATGTTACCCCAAACTATCTATATGGCAATGCACCTTTTCTAAATTGATCGCCTTGGGTACCGTGCCAATAATCTGAGATCACAATATTTTCCAAGCAATTTTAACATCGTTTGCCTTAATTTGAAATAAAATACAGCTTTGGATATAATAATGAAAAGTTTGGTTATAATAACTGCTCTGATTTCCTTATTCCTTACTCTTGCCTTTTTTTAGTGCCAATCTTTGATAGTCTCAACAGTTAGTAGTAGACTCAAAAGATAAAAAAAGGAAAAATAAAAATAGAAGGAAAAATGGTAATAAAATAAAATGTTTATAAAATATTTTGTTAAAACGTTTGTTGTGATCATTATAATGCATTCAAATTATTTTGCACGAGCTTCGGTGTGTAATTTCCATCAACACGCATAAAACACATGGCCAGAAATGCAGGCCGGTAATGGCGTTATGCTGAGGTGTTGGATATGTCTTGACGTCTTTGATATGAGTTGCATACCCCATTGATACGAGTTGTATACGTATTTGATATGTGATGTGTACCTCATGCAGCGCTGTAGAAATTGGGGGAGAGCGCTTTGGGGCAGAGCCCCACTTCTTAAATTCTTCTACTTTAAGAATTTTTAATTATCATTTATTAAGCAAACTATTACAGAAAACCTGGCTACTTTTTATTAAGTAGCATCAAAAATGTGATCCTTAATAGATCGATATATTTTTATGCTCCTAAATGTTCATCTTAGCTATAGGTTCAATTACTTCCACTGCGGATCTTGTTTAGCTGCTTTCATTAGCGCAGGCACAGCCGGCCAACTAATATTTTATATCTAAGGCTTAATAAGAGTTATGATCTATCATATCTGAGCACCTCAGTGGCGAGTTCTGAACATACATGACGTCACACAATAACGTTACCACAGCTCCACCCTCGTTAAGAAAGCCCCCCTCTGGTAAATTTAGTTCAGTACAAGATTTACATTTGTTGAGCCGTGCTTATTTCAAGACAATATTTCCCATATTCAACTCTGTTAACGTTTATATTGGGTTTTCAAAGAACTAGGCAATTTTATATGTTGTGATTGTAACCTTTCATCAATGAAAGTCAAAATTTCCAACATAAATTTTGTTTTCCCCAAGTGGTTTTTCTGAGAGACAGTTATATGTTTAGCTTTATTTTGTTCAGTTGCGCGTTCCTTTTTAAAAGAAAATGTTTTCCACGTTGTATTCTGTGTGTATTTGGTTTTAATTGGTTTTATGGTCTTGTTCTGCTCTTGTGCAGTAGGTAACGCTCCTAGCCATTTTGTACATAATCAGAATTAAATTTGATCAAAATAATATATTTGTAATTAATATTTTAGCAAAGTGGACATTAAATTACTCAATTTCATACAATTTTGAATTTTAGCTGTGGTACATGTGCCAATAAATTGTACGTAGTGTAATTTAGGTTAAAATATATAATAGTTATTGTCTCCGTAGATTTGTATCTTGCATGGGCTTTGACGCCGCTACTATTCCGACCGTAGTCACAAAAGTCATAATTTGAAAATTATTAGCTTTGTGTATCTTTGATAACTAATTTCCCTAATAACCAATAATTTTTTATACGACGAAAAATCCACGTGTCTCATATAGGTTATTATTTTACTCCATATATATCATGTATTTCAGTATTAATTTTGTGATCTTCCCATTGATAAAATGACACGGTAAAAACGCTGAGAACTGAAATGTGAAGAAAGGAAGATTGAGTTAGGTTGTATTGATATAATTATTATTTACGGCAGCCAGTTTCGATGAAAATCCATTAATCTAACATCGGATCTTACCATCACCTGCTTAAAGTAAGTTATTTTATTAGGAACTTCAGGAAAAAAGGGTGCAAGAACAATAACGTTCAGTAATTATGTAAACATTAGAGTAACTAATATGTGAATATTAGGTAACTAAAAAATATAAACTGTATAAAAATTATAAGTATAGACATTTAACGACAATCAGTAAAATTAATGTTCTCACGTGACCCTTCCTCCTCATTCCATGTGTGTTGACCTTTATTATTATAGTAAGGCGGCATAATAATTTTATTCAACAAATAATATATATAAACAATATAATGCATCCGAGGAAAATAGTGAGTTTTGTTTTCCCAAGAGTCTGAGTAAATACAATGGACAATCCTTCGATCTCTGTTCAAGAGGATACTGAGAATTCTCGTCACTCGAGCTTCTTGAAGCAACATACATCATACCAGGAGTTACTATCGCAATTTAAATGCAGAGAAAGAGTAGAGAAATAGGCTGTTACTCTGTGATACTGAGATCCTCTGATGTAGCCAAAAATATTTTAAATTTGTCCAGTGCATATTGTGGTCTACACAAAAAAGCACAGAAAAGAGTTACGACGACGCCACGCGCTCTCTGACCGAGTCGATCGGAAAAGACATATTGAACTTTAGGTATAGCTATAATGATTTGGTATGTAAGGGCTAAGTTATACGACACAATTTTGTCGAATGCAATTCAAACAATATTGTTTGAGTTGCATTCGACGCTACTAAAAGGCGACGTATAATTATAACCTTGCATGGCCTAATAGTAAAATTACGTTCTAATTCGCCGTAGCAAAAGCTTTTAAAAATATTTTTAACAAAAAATCAAGGTTGGAGAATATTTGGTATAGTGAAGACAGGCAAGTTTACATAAGAATTTCGACGCTATGCAGGCACTCTAACCGCAGTCGGAAAAGACAAATGGACCACCAACATAGATTTGGTGACAGTTGTAGAGGCGACAGTTATAATATATTATATGCATAATAAAGTCGCCGAGAAATAATTTCAGTTTCAATATTTTTAATTTAGTTCCTGCATGTATCCGACAAACAGACAGCCTCATTGTAATATCCATTAACCCAATAATCAAGTGGTCGGACACATCGACTATATATATTTGGGTGAAAACAGTCTAAAATCATTCGCTTATTGAAGTTTCTCAGCAGAGTTTCGAAATTTTTACTCTAAAGAAATTACAAATTGAGGTAAGCTGTTTACTTGAATGTATAAAATAAGAAAAAGTGCAAGATATTTAGCTCTTTAACTGCCACTTTTCAAATCTTTTATCCCCGAGCCGGTGCGAAGCATCGGGCGAGGGTACTGATTCCGCCCGGAGATTTTAGTTACGCGCGGGAATGCAATTGCGAAATGAAAGTTGTCCGCCATTATGTCATGGATGTTGGGCGTTTTTGTAAGTTATGCGCATGCGTAAGTTTAAGAAGAGTTAAAACTGGTAACTAACTGGTAACGTTTGGAAGCGTGCGATTGGCTCAATTAAAATTTTGGTTCGCGTCAGCATAACTGATATTTTGAATTATAAAACTTTTTCAAAAATATTTTTCATTTGGATGGTTTTAAAAATATACGGAAAAATTCAATCGTAAAATTGATTAAAATGTAAAGTAAATGATGCTTTCGGATCGAAAAACTTTGATTCAAATAGATGGAGAAAAATTTACGATTTTAAAGCATTTTTGGAGTGTTTTTGAACAGGTAAATAGGTGGATTTTGTATTTAAAAGCATGCAAGTATTTCGTAAGTTTAACTTGTAGATTTATCAACAAATGGGAAAGCATTTATTTTTAAAGGTGAATCTGTTTAAAAAGGAATTGAAATTTCGCTAAAAATTGTAGTATTTAAAACTATTCGTAGCACAATTAATGAATTACGATTGTAATTGAATGTGATAGCTCGAGAGTCGACTTTCTAATTGTACTTGATATAGAATTTTACTTATACGACTTCGACCATTCAGCAAAAATGATATATAGAATTTCACTAATGGAAATAGGTTTATTACTTCAGGCGAGGGATTTGCATGCATATCTAGTAACTTGTTAATAGTAAACGTTGTAATGACATTCAATAGTATAAACATTAAAAATTGGAAGAATATATTATATTATATATATTATATATATATAGACAACTTCGACTACCTTTATTATATTAGCAAAAATGAATTATCGTCTCGGATTGTCTGATGCTGTTCTCTTTGTGACTGCTTTCAGTGTGAGGGTAATACATCGTTGATTTTTGTTTCAAGCATATAAATATTTTTTTTTCTTTTTTTTTCTTTTTTACTTCTTCATTCTTTGTTAATTCTACATAAAATTTCTCTGGACAGTGATAAAAAACATTGGCGAACCATGGCCATACAGCTATACTGCATGTTCATTTATAATTATTAATTACGTCTTATCCTTTCACGTTGGAAAAATACCACAAATCCATAGGTCGTGAAAAAGTGAAATCAGTAATTAATGATTAAAGAACTGAGATCATTAAAGAGAGTGAAAGTTAACCATCATTGAAATTAATGCATTGCTTAATCAACTCTACTTAGAGGCAAATGAAAATATATAATTGTCTGCAACAGTATACAACCTCGTAATTCTCGCAACTCTGGTTTAATAAATTAAAGTAATACACCAACAAAGATTAACTTCACAACCAACGTTTCTACACTTCGGTAGTGTCTTCAACGAGAATGCACAGTCGTTAATCACGATTTATCCGAGAATAATTAAAAAGGTGAAAGAAGAAGTAGTGGTTAGAGTAATATTAGTAGTAAAATGACATGAAGTATAGGACGTAGAGGCGCGAATAGCAGAGAACTGAAACTGGCTTGAGACAGAGTAAATGTAGAAATATAGACATGTAAGGCATTAATCTATTGAAAAGATCACATTAAATATATTCTTTATACCTAACTCTTTATAACACTGGTGGCAGCGGTGGAATATCTGTTAAATTTTGATACGAAGTCGAAGTGTTTATTTGGTTTTATATACGAAGTAAAATGGCGTCTGTTACAGCATCACTTTGGGATTACACGGATGGATCTACAGTCGAGAGTCACCTAGATCAAGTTGAATCATATTTCGTAGCGAAAGGAATAGAAACTGACGCAAAACAAGTCGCGTGCTTGCATTTGTCATTAAAAGGGGAAGCTAAAGTGTTCTTTAGTCGTTTAGCAGCCAGTCAAAGAGACACTTTTGTTCATGCAAAAGCAGCATTGATAGAGCGGTTTCAATCAAAGAAAACTGTTACAGATTGGCAAAAGGAACTGGCTGACCGTCGCCAAAAACCGGGGGAGTCTGCTGTTGAACTTAAGTATTCAATACTTCAACTGGTTAAGAAAGCTTTTCCAGAGGTCACAGATAAGAACACATACGATTCTATTTCCCTGGCACACTTTCGCAACGCGTTGAAAGGTGATATTGCCCACAAATTGTCATGGGT